TATAAGGGGTATTACAAACAAAAAAATATATATATAATCAAAATAAATAAATGGAGTTTATAAGTAAATAAATAGTAATGAAAGGTATAGAGCATAGAGAGCGTGAAGCTTAGAATGCTCACAGCATATCTATGAATAGAGTTAATAGCCAGAAAATCCTCAAAAGAGGAAATAGGAAAGACAAATATTAAGAAACCAGAGCTGCCTGTAAAGCTAGCAGCCCAAATAGCAACATTGTATCTGATTACAAAAATATAAAAGTATCTGCCTAACTCAGTGTAACTACTGGACCTCTATAGTGGTAGAGAGAAATAATATAACTAACTATCTACTTAAACGTGAAAACAAAAATGTGAAATCAATACAGTGCCATGCCGTGAATTAAAGTGTAATGTCCATAAACGACAAGAAAGAAACGCCTGAGGCGCATTTCGGTGCTGTGCAGAAGCACCTTTGTCAGAGGCAAATGAGTTACTGCTTAAGTAGTTCTTTTTATACCTTATTTCGTACGTCCATCAACCAATGGCTGTCCTGTCTGTATCAGGGGCGCGAACGGCATTTCCCGTGCTAGGTACAGCCATTCAACGGAGCTAGCCCAGTGACGTCATTAGAGTAGGGCGGGCGGAATAGTAATTAATCTATTAGGCTCCGCACACTTTTCTCAGTTTGAAATATAATTGTACCATTAGTTTTAATATATATCCTGGTGATCAAAGTGTATTAGTCCATACGAAGAGCCCATTTCAGAATATTTATTAGGGCTAAACCATAATGGATTTCTTGTTAGAAAAGAATCCAATATATTACCAATATAAAGGCAAATAGAAAGTACACCATCACATCTATTGGATAAAAAATAAATAAATGTATACAATAATATGGAGGTATATATAGTAGATTCACTATAGGTATCCTTAGTAATTAAAAGAAATCCAAATCAGTATCTGCTTATATGGATATAACAGGGATACTCAGAATCTTCTCAATATCGGTAACCAGGTTTGATATAGTAGTAAATGTAAAAGTACATGCAAGAAATCTTATAGATACCAGATTACAGTATATACATAATAATAGATAGTGAACTACATATGATATTAGACAGATTACAGTATACACATACTAGTGAATAATGAACTACATATGATATTAAGCAGACTCAGAAAGGAAAAAGACTCAATCATAAAAAAAATAATAATAAAAAATAAATAATAATAAAAATAATAGAACTACTTATTTACAAAATACAGGTTAATCATGTAATGCTAAATTAAGACTAAATGGAGAAAACTCCAGAGATGTATATATAGTATATTAGTCAGAGATAAATGGTGTGAATGAGAAGCCCTCATTAAGACCCATGGGGGAAAAAGTTTTTAATTTATATATCCAAAGACTCTCTCTTTGTAATAGTTTTTTATCAAGGTCACCTCCCCTTGGACCAAGTGTAACCCTTTCAATCCCACAGAAGCGTATATCTTGTGCGGAGCCTCCATGATGGAGTTTTAGATGTTTCGAAATGGGAGTATCAACCAGTCTCCTTGGATTGACTGACGTAACATGTTCACGAATCCTGTATTTAAATGCACGGATTGTCTTGCCAACGTACATTTTGTTACACGAGCAGGTTAGTAAATAAATCACACCTCTGGATTGGTAGTTAAAGAAGGTTTTGATAAAGACCTGTGTATTTGTGGAGTCCGAGATCTTCTTAGATGGTAGTAAATAACGTTCAGTAGTAGAGGTGAGGGTTAAAACACTCCTTTGGGAACAGCTACCGCTCTACGCATTTTGTCTTTATCGACTTTCTCAAGAGCTTAACACTCTTCTGTGTTCAGCTTGTTTTTATGTTCAAATTTTGCGTGTTTTCCCATCCTGAATGCGCATGCGTGGGCGACGGCCAAAACGGAATGTGTATAATTACGTTCAACTGTCTCACCGCGCATGCACGAAAACCAGCCTGGAACGCAAATCAACTTTATTGATGCTGTTCGAGGACAACCTACAAGTCCAGCCAAACATAGTATATGTTTGGGACTCTAACGTCTGCAAGGAAATAAAAACAGAAGAGCATGTAATACATAACACTAAATAATCAAGACAGATAAAGATGATAAATAATGATCCCCATTGCAATGATATTTTAAAATAATGATCACCAATACAATTATATTTTAAAATAATATTTTAAAATATACGGTCTATTTCATATAACATAGTATAATAATCTTATTAGTGAGTAAGAAGGAGAATGTTCATGAAGAACATGTCTGACGAAGTGCCCTTTGCCACTTGTGCCTGGAGAGGACTAATTGCCAGCCTCTTGCCTTGTGACTATGGCCCCTGGGAGAGTTTGCTCTTTAAAAACATTATTTGGGCATATTGGATTTTATTGCACTGTTTCTGCCCCTTTGATTCCATGGGAGAATGTGCCTCTTCCCCTCCCCCTTTTCCTGTCCATTGTTCTCCAGCAGGGTGTTGTCCCAGGGACACTGTCAGACCAGTTTAGACTGGCTGCTTTGTTCCTCCTCAATCTCTCATCAACCCTTGCTAAACTTTAACCTCATGGCGATTTTATTCTGTTTGTGGGATCTGAGCGCTGTTCGGATATATTGAGCGCTCAGATGCAGGCTATCTGGGGATAGGTTGAATGTGGGGGTTCTGTTCAGTATAATAGTAAATATGTATTTTTATGTATTTTTACTGTTGTTGTAAATGGATATATTCACTGTACCTGGGCATAATTACATTTTGTATATATTGTGTATTAATATTGTTTTTGTATTTTGTTGTACCTAATGTAACAATGCAATGATTTGTGGACCCAGGACATACTTGAAAACGAGAGAAATCTCAATGTATCTTTCCTGGTAAAATATTTTATAAATAAATAAATAAATAAAAATAATTAAGTTACCACACCCACTTAAGACAATTATCTCCAGATTTGCCTGAATCTGCCTGAATCTGTGGAACTGTTTTTGGGCATGAAAGCCATGGAGTCTGCGGTGGTTGTGGTGTCCGGTGCGGTGCTTGTGATCCTCGGCACAAGCTAGGAAGCGTCCATCAACAGAAGGTACTCGGTCGGAGTACGGGGAGTTCCATTACAACATGGAATAAAAATAAAAATAAATAAAAATTAAAACATAAGATAAAATTAGAACAATTAATTAAAAAATTAAAAATCAGAACAATGAAAGAATATGAATTAAAAATGCATAAAAGTATAGTAAATGCATAAAAATAACTCAAGGTATAAAATATGTTATCAGGATCAAAGCACACAAACTCTCTATAGCCATACTAAAGAACAAATCCAAATTACTACTAAAAGCAACCTCAATAGAAATAAAATTGAAGACAATTTTCTAGCATCCTTTTGCTTCCATCTTTGCTTTTTTTTCTTACTGTATAAGATAATTCAGGTACATTCTGCTTTCTCCAGAGTCTTTCTGGTAATGATGTTGATGATTCATTTTTCATTCCATGTTAACTGTGAATGTATCATGCCTGTCTGTTCATCCTTCTTCTTCATATTTGCAGGTTCAGATGTCAGATCACGATTCGGTCTGTTATGGCTATGATTCTAGTGGCATTTCTGTCATCCTCTGTTTGTTTTATCTTGCCTTCTTTAACAGCATCCATTGTGTCAGTCAGTGGTTCTGTGAAAATCTTGGAAGTATTTAGCAGGTTTTAAAATATCAAAACTTACTTTTCTCTGTTGGCTCTGATTGTTCTCTGTAGTAAAAGTTCTTGGAGTCACCCTCTCCAGGCCAAACTGGCCAAACAGTAGGAAATAGGTGGTGGTGCATGGTGAGGTATTTTTAGGTAAATTCCCTAAATTTCTCTAATAGAACCAATGGTTCTAAGCTTTCCTTGTGCAGAAATATGATTTTCAGTGAAAAATGTGTAACATATCATATGGTGTCTCACCATTTGTATCATATTGTGTGGGGGCAAGCAGCTAGTAACTTGGTTAATAGTAATTTCACCTTAACAGTTTTCCCGTAACACAACTCCACTACTTTGGGGGTGGTTGGGTGCACTGAATTCCCAAAGTAACCTAAATGTTGTTGCCCAGTTTTGGGTTTCCCTTGCAGTATCTGCAGGACCACCAACCGAGTGGATGGTCCTTGGATTACCAAATGCATACTAAGGAAGTGAGACTAGCAATCGTGGTATCAGAGGTTGCACTTTACACAGGGCATAACCAAATGAACCTGCTACATGCATCAACACATATTTATAACCATGAGATGGTGGCAAACTTCCAATATATAGTAATTCAAAAAGTATGTTACATATTAATATTTCAATAAACAGTACAGCAGTAATGTGGCCTAGTTATCAGTAAGCAAATGCTTACAATAACTAATCACATAAACTACAGTATGTCCTATATTAGGCCACCAATATTCCTTTTTAGAAGTTAGAAGTACATTACCTCTCTCTATATGAGCTTGTCCTAGCCACGAATAGGCTTTTAGGGCAAGTCTCTCTTTCCTATACAGGAAGAACAACCAACTTATGTTCAATGGTTATTATATAACTAACCCCTCTAAATGATATGAGTATTTATTTGCAAGCAAAAACTCTGCATCATGACTGAGAGAAAGGGTATGCTTTTGTGATCCAGTGACCACTTTAACAGAGTAGCATTGGTGGACACATTGTATCAAAGTGCCTGTTAATAACTACATGAGGAAAGGGACCAAGCTTTGTAATAAGCATGTCCATACACGTATTACAATGCCAGGCTTTCAATTTGTTTCCACAAAGCAATATGCAGTTGTGGATATAAACTCACAATGTATCGTAAGAAAAACTGTTTGAACACCAGACAGAGAATTGAGAGATAAGTGAACAATGGACCAAGATAGATACATTTTATAAGTGTTGTGCCAACTGTTCATTAACCCCTTCAGGACAGAGTCAATAGTGCATGTTCTGATCAAAACAAAACGTAAACAAAAACTGGAATTTGCGCTATATGTCTGTTCAACCGTAATTCCCCGCTGTCACATTAAGCGCAGCCACACTTATTATATTATAATAAGTGTGGCTGCGCTTAATGTGACAGTGGGGAATTAGTGATGTCCCTGTACCTCACAGTCAGCAAACACATTCCAGCCAATCAGCAGCAGACCCTCCCTCCCAGACCCTCCCACCTCCTGGACAGCATCCATTTTGAAACTGCATTCTTAGTGAGCTGTCCAGGAGGTGGGAGGGTCTGGGAGGGAGGGTCTGCTGCTGATTGGCTGGAATGTATCTGCTGACTGTGAGGTACAGGGTCAAAGTTTACTCAATGATGAGTCCGTGGCGAACCGTTCGTGGCGAACCGTTCGCGAACCGTTCGCGAACCGTTCGGCAAACCGTTCGGGACATCACTAATTATATATAATTTTGTTCAGGAGAAACAGGGCTTTAATTTATCATTAACTATTCATATATGGAACATCATTTATAATGAATAAAATTTAAAAAAATGTGAGAAAATAAGATTTTTTAAAAAAAATTAGTATTTCTGTCTGACATTTTAGCTGTGAATGTCATAATACTGTTAGGTTTTACTGCAAAAAAATGCATATATTTGTAATCAGCAATGTCTCACGAGTACAACAGTACCCCCCATTAACAGGTTTTATGGTGTTTTGGAAAGTTACAGGGTCAAATAAAGAACGTTCCATTTTCAAATTGAAATTTGAAGCATTTGCACTACTTCCCACTGGAATTAATGTACGATTCACCAGTATTGGGGTACTGTAGAATATGGTCACGTGGTGGAACTGAATCCCCATATATGAGATTTAAAACTGTATTTTTATTTCTACGCTGTTCCCTAATCTGTATTTATATGTATATAACAGCAGCAGCAGCACATAGCTTTTATAGAAGCAATTAATTTATCCATCATGTGGTTGTGGTTTAGATGTTTAAACTTTATTTTTATAAATCATTTCTTTGCTCTGAGACAGCAGGCTGCTGAATGCAGCCTGGTACAGCATGTAAATGCTCTTATTGCCTAGTCTATATACATTTATTTATAAACAACATTGATATATTTATATATAAACAACATTATTTTATTTTATTTTGTTATTTTAGGAAAACCTAGTTTATGAAATTCACTGAGATTACATGTGTCTGATCTGATTACAGTCAGTAGTACAGTATTGTTCTAATTTCCTTACTGCTAGCACTACAGGTACAGTGGGATAGTACCACTTATTTAAGTAAACTTTCCCTTATACAATTTGTGGACTTTAATCCTTCTGCCATTGCAATAGACTAAAGTCTGTACCTAAGTAAGCAAAGTCAATATGTGTAGGAAATGTGCACTTTAAATAATATACCTATTCTAGGGTTGAAGGTAGGGTTAGGGGTATGGTAGGGTTGGGTTTAGGGTTAGGGGTTGGGGTAAGGGTAGGGTTAGGGAATTGCCAAAGTCCCGAACCGAATATTTTGCCCATGCACATACCCTAGTAACAAATATTTATAGGCATCCTTTTCTCAGGCTAACTGCAAAGAAAGACAAATGGATTTACAAACTTCAGAGATGAATCCAGTTGTATTCCAAATAGAATTCATTAAAAATAAATGTAAAAGCATTTAAAACAACAATAACATAAATAAATGTCTTCAAGCTAAAATGCTAATTAAGCAAATGTTTAAAAATAGAAAAGCAATTTTTCTCACCTCTGGCAAGCCATAAACGCAAGCACAATGCATTGGCTTTTCCAATCTAGTGGAGATTTACAGATATAAACTAACTTGGAACATTTTCGACTCAATCGGATTCAAACAAGAGCCTTGCTGCCCTCAGGAGACCCAAGTAGATTCTTTCAAATAATGGGTCTGGATATCCCTGAGGCAGTTCCGCTTCTATTTCAACCAAAGGTTTTACCACTCCCTCTTCCCTGGGAATGTTACGAAGTGAGGGAGGCAAGGGAGAATTAGAATCCTCATGGATTTCATGACACTAACTTTATCAATTTACCAAATTATTACCTCGAATTTCAAGATGAAAAATTTCTGTAAGGTGAAAAAGTAAAGAGATCCTTGGGCAATGACTTTTAATTTTGCAGTAGAAGGTCGGTAGCAACTGATTTTTTTTATATATTTTATTCTCTGCTTCATCTGCTTCATAGTGATATTTGATTTTGGCATGCTTTTGGCATGTACCCATTGTGGGTCCCGAATAGGATTTTGGTTTTTGTTTCTGACTTGGTTTTATTTTTGTTTGGACTTTGGTTTATAAGGATTATTTAGATTATTGAAAGTGGTCTATATGGATCATGGAAAGTGCTAAATGACATGGTGGTGGTATATTGGTAATTTGTGATTTATGATTTATGCTGGACATGATATGTGTCATGACATATATATGCATGTATGTATATGAATCTGACTCTGTCCTCTCATGGTTTTCCTCTTATCTCTCCCAATGCTCATTCAGCTTCTCCTTTTCTAATGATACCTCCTTTCCTCGTCCTGTCTCAGTTGGAGTCCCCCAAGATTCTGACCTTGGTCCCCTTCTATTTTCTCTTTATACTGCCACTCTGGGCAAGCTTATTACCTCTTTTGGATTCCACTACCCCCTGTACGCTGATGACACCCAAATATTTCTCTCCTCCCAGGACCTCTCCCCTGCCGTCCTGCAACGTGTCACAGCTTGCCTTTCTTCCATCTCTGACTGGATGTCCTCCCACTTTCTGAAACTCAATCTCTCTAAAACTGAGCTCCTTGTCTTTCCTCCTCCTAATACTGATCCTCATCTTTCGCTCTACCGTCAAATTAGTGGTATTCACATAAGTCCATCCTTGCAAGTGCGCTGTCTTGGCGTCATACTTGATTCTGGCCTCACCTTTGAGTCTTACATCCAGTATGTTGTCAAATCCTGTAGATTCCATCATAAAAACATAGCCCGCATCTGCGCCTTTCTTACGCAAGATGCTACCAAGGAGCTTGTCCATGCTCTAGTAATATCCCGCATGGATTATTGTAACCCTCTCCTAATTGGTCTTCCCAAAAGCCATATTGGCCTATAATGCATGCTGCCGCCAGACTGATTTTCCTCTCTAGTCGGCCCTCTCACACCTCACCCCTCTGTCAGTCCTTACATTAGCTTCCTATACCCTATAGGAGTCAATTCAAAGTACTAACCCATACCTATAAAGCACTGAACAATTCTAGCCCCTCTTATATCTCTTCACAGATCCATAGGTATGCCCCTTCTCGGTCTCTCTGCTCTTCCAGTGACCTTCTCCTGTCCGCTACTCGCACCCCTACAGCCTACTCGCGCTTGCAGGACTTCTCGCGGGCGGCTCCCTTCCTATGGAATAGCCTGCCTACTGCCATCAGACTCTCCCCTAGTCTTCAATCATTTAAGAAGTGCCTTAAAACCCATCTCTTTAGGAATGTTTATGGCCTCCCAGAGTAGCATCTACCTTACATACCTGTCTCTTGCTCTCTCCTAAAGGGCAGCACTCTACTCTCTCCTCCAGCTCTGCCTCACTCCCACCTTATTTGATTGCTATTTCCTTTCTTAATGTGTTTTCTACCCCACCTCCTATAGACTGTAAGCTCGTTTGAGCAGGGTCCTCTTCAACCTATCGTTCCTGTAAGTTTTCTTGTAATTGTCATATTTATAGTTAAATCCCCCCTCTCTTAATATTGTAAAGCTCTACAGAATCTGTTGGTGCTATATAAATGGTAGTAATAATAATAATAATAATAATAATAATAATAATATATGGGTATGTATGTGTATGCATGTGTGTGCATGTGTTGGTATATGTATGGTACATGTATGGGTATGTGTATGCATGTATGCGGTATAGGTGTATATATGTGTGTGTGTGTGTATGTATGTATGTATAGATTTTTATTTTTCACTTTGAATCAGATATAGATAACTATTTGGACTATATATGTGTGGCATGGAAGATTGGTAATAAATAATAAAATTGTATAATAAATTAAAATTCCAATTAAAATCTAAATTTTCTCAACTTGGTTCAGGGTGCTTGAACATATAGATACATTTGGAAAGCATTAGTTATCTGGCCGGCTATATATCTCTTCCCAGCGGCCAGGGGTGATTAATTCAAGGCTTCAGTTAGATGGGAGCATATACACTACATCCCATGGCCCATTTAGACCTGGGGGGATTGTGCCCCCCAATGTCTTGTTGGCATTTGGTGAGTCCAGGATGTAGTTTTTGTATATACTTTTGTTACTTGTTTTTTTTTAATTTATTAATTTATTTTTATTTTATTTTTTTCTCTTCTCCTTTGCCGGGGCTTGGACTTCTCCTACAGGATTATCAAGTCTATCAGTATTATACTTGTGTGTCAACTCTTTTCTTGTGCTTGAAATATCATTATGGTTAATAAGATAGTCTCTTTAAATGTAAAAGGCCTTAACTCACCTGTGAAAAGAAAACTGGTGTTTAAAGAATTGAGAAGATTGCAGGCTGATATTTGCCTTTTTACAGGAAACGCTCTTAAACAGATCTCATGTGCTTTCTCTTATGGATAAAATGTATGATAGAGCTTATAGCTTGAATGCCCTTCGTAAGCATAACGGAGTGGCAATCTTGATTCATAAACGCTGTCAGTTCAAAGTCTGAAATACCTCACATGATAGAGAAGACTTTGATATATTGGTATCAGGTATGCTAAGCCCTCGCAAACTTTACTTGATACATTGATATGCCCCAAATATCCCAGATGCTAGTTTTTGGGATATGATTGGATAGGTTATCAAGCCTATCCGGTCAGATTGTATTCTGATAGGCGGTCATTGTAATGCAGTTTTATGCCCAGCAATAGATAGGAGTTCTAGGCCTGGAGAAGTTCGTTTCCAGGGACGGGGAAGACAGGACAGATTGTTTTTTCAGTTTATTTAAGTTCACAAGCGTATCGATGTATGAAGGGCTCACTATCCCGATGTATTGGATTTTAACTTTTATTCATCCCCACATGGTACATATTCCAGAATAGATATGGTCTTGTCAAATTCGGAATTTGTTTCTTATCTTTATTACTCACAAATTAGTAATATTACCTGGTCATACCATGCTGATATAGCC